GTATTTTAAAGATCTGAATAGCTATTATAACATGATTTCGTTGTCAAGCTTTTGAATCTTCCTATACTTGGGTTTTGATTGGTCATTCTAGCTTTTGTAAATATGTTTTCCTCTATTTAAGGATTGTTAATTAATTTGAAACTTTTAAAACCATTTATTTTATCTTCAACATCATCACTTGATAAGATACCGAGGGTGTTGAAACAAAATGGCTATTTTTGTAGTGATCTTATAACATATTTATGTTATAATTTTTTTTTATAAAAAATAATTATATATATATATATATATATACAGAGAGAGAGAGAGAGAGAAAGAGAGGAGAGAGGTAGAGAGAATAGAGAAAAAATGAAAAAATCCCTTAGTTATTGAAAAAGAATAAAAAACAAACAAAACCAGAAAAAACAGGGGGTTGGACATAAACATAAAAACTAAAATGAGAAGTAGATTTCTTATATGTCACATTCAACCTAAGAAAAAGTACATATCGCCCATATAGAAATGTTAATAACAAACCGTTCTATATGCACGCATATTCCAAACGTCCTCCACAAATAATGAAGCAGATACCACAATCACTTAACTGCAGGTAACCTTCAGTTAAACGATCATCAACGAAGCCAACGAAGAATATGAAAGGCGCTGAAACTGAACACTCAGGTACACACCTCACAAGACAAAAAAATCCAACAGGAATATAAGCATCATTCATCACTTAAAAGAAATATAAAACAAAGAGAAGAAAAAATATTTATTAAATTCTTACACAAACACTTTCCGCAATCATGCACTCTCCCCAGGATATTCAACAAAAACAAACTAAAAATCAGCTACGGTTGCACTGGGAACATGACATAAGTAATAAAAAAAGACACTAAAACAACCAAAAAGTACCCGCACAAATCAAAACAAAATTTAACTGCAGAGCAAAAAACAAATGTCCTTAAACGGAAATTGCTTACAGAACAATGTAATATATCAAGCCACTGTAAGATCAGCAAATAGTGAACAATAAATATTCAGTAACTGAAGGAAACAGGAAGCAAAGAAACTACGTACACAAAACATCCTTTACAAATAGTAAATACGCGAACAGCACTATGCTTTTCTCAATATATCTGGAAGATTAAAACCAAAAAAAAACAAAAAAAAAACAACAAAAAACAAATCAGAGCAAAATATCATGGAAAATAAGAAAAACAGCATCAACCAACAACAATAAATCCAAAAACTGTAAACTCTGTCTGGAGGAGAATATATATATATATATATATATATATATATATATATATATATATATAGTTACCTTTCCAGACAAACACAAACTACTAATTAAACGATCAGAGAGGAAAACAATTTTGCTACGTTACTTCAAAATAGAAAACTAAGATAGAACAATAAATAATAGAACAATAGAATAAGTAACAAAAATAAAATAAAATATAAATAAGTAAAATAAATTAATTCAAATCAATAAATAAGTTAATAAATTAAGTAAATTATAAAAAAATAACAAAGAATGAACACATTAACGTAAGTAAATGTAATAATATTAATAATTAACATCAGATAAGAAAGCAATTAATAATAGAGTTAATAACGAGCACTACAAAATAGCCACAAAACTGTATTGAGATCCACGATTACTTCCACTAAATAGCTCCTAAAATAATTTGAAACTTAACCATTACCGTCCACACAAATACCGCTAGAATAATACAAGAAAACTACCCGTGACGCATCACTGATTACCATATATAAATAGTGGAGCCAAAACACAACGCACATGATCTGATGTTTGAGTTTAAGCATGAAACAGACTGTCGCTATTGGGTGTTGAAAGCAATGTGTATTTATTGTCTACAATTTTCTAAAGTAATGATTTTTTTTAATTTATTAATCCGATAGATTTTATTACTTCAAATGTTATGTTAGTGGATATTCGTATTTAAGTAGACGCTCCGTTTATTTATTAAAGAGTATATTTATTTAGTTTCGTCTACTGGCCTGAATATCTAAGAGATTTTATTAAAGTATAATATGTGCTTTCGAATGTTGGCATTAACTATCATCCACCACAATATTATAATTTCATATGATATATTCACACATATACACACACACACACACGCTCACTCTCTCTTCTCTCTCTCTCTCTCACACACACACACACACATACAGACACACACACACACACACACACACATATATATATATATATATATATATATATATATATATATATATATATATATATATATATATATATATATATATTTGGATTGATGTGAATTTGTGACCCTGGGTTTCACACACTGGTCATAAACATCAATTCAACTAAATATCACTGATATTGAGCGCTTTCCATTAAGTATCGCGCATATATAATATATAAATAATATATAAAAAATATATATATATATATATATATATATATATATATATATATATATATATATATATATATATTTATATATATATATATTTATATATATATATATATATTATCACAGTCTATTCGTTGGGGTCTCGTTTTCAAAAAACATTACACCTGAGGTCACCGAAGTCTATTTTAAAATTCCAACTTTTCAAAGAATATCAGGATGTAGACAGCATTAATTATAACTTCCACATAGACACTACACATTGCTTCTTGAGATGAAAAAAACAATAACTCAATATGAACTTCGGACAATTTATCTACAATTTCGAACACAATACTTAACGCCTTGTTCAAAAATTGGAAAGCTACAACAAAAATAAAATAGACAGTTCTTGTCGGTTATTTTTAATCAAAATTGTTTGAATAATATATATATATATATATATATATATATATATATATTCTCCAGCAAAACATTAATTTCTGTAGTTTACTGCTACCAGCAAGCAGAAATATTTCTCCTCCTGATGATGGCCATTTTGGTCGAAACTAGTCGAGGAATCTAAATGAAATAATAATAAAAAAAAACGAAAGAATATTAATCTACAACCCAGTGTGTCTAAAGATTTTAATTTTTAATAATTTTTAATTTTTTTAATATTTTCATTGTTCAATATATATATATATATATATATATATATATATATATATATATATATATATATATATATATATATATGCGATGTGTCATCAAAACCCTGTTGTCAAAGGATTATTAATACCAAGCTTTGTTGATCGGAAAATAGGAATTTAAAAATCTGTTTTTTAATGATATTCAAATTTGTAAGTTTGATAATTCTGTTAAGTTTCATAATTTATAAAAGTTCCCAGCACGATGAATTTTTTTTATTTAAATAGAAGAAAAAAAACCCTTACACTTTCTGAACCATACCTAACCATCAACAGAATCATCTTTTCCTACATAAGATAAATCACTTCTTTCGCAAGGGTTAAGTCTTGAGATCACGCTGGAGGCAACGCTGTCAGTACGCAACTGCAAGCAAAACTCTGTCATAAAATTTGAGACCCACGTTCACGTAGGAGGTTTTGTCGATGCTAAAATTTTTTATGTCTTCAATTTGTTATTCAGACCTGAATTTAAATGTGACTCCACCGCTGTGTTCCTTAATCCGCGAGCAAAAGTTTATTTCTTTCTCGAGCTGGAAGGATTAAGTGCACTATCTGTTCTGTGTTTGAAGAGAGCAGCCGAGTAGTTGCAAACCTTCTGCTTTTAGTTATCTCAAGAAGAATTAGGGCCAATACCCCCCCTCCACCGCACCAAATCAGAAAAACGTTCTCTTTTTCGGGTGGCGATCATTAAACGTTTCATGTCTCTGGTGTGGGATCAAGAGTTTGATCGCGGGCTCTGAATGAAACTCAGAAGAATTTAAACCCGGGCTTTAAGAATCAACTTTGTGGAATATAACGTAAATGTTCAGTTATATAAAACTTTGGTTACACGGAACTTGTGTCTATAAAGCTGAGTGGTTGAGTTGAGGGACAAATTCATGAGGTTTGGCACGACTTTTCAATTATCAAATGCCACAGGAACAAATCATGAAATTTGTAATGATTTAAAATATTGAAATGAGGTCGAATTTATAAGTTACTCGACTCGTGTTCTTGTATCCTACTAATCTTACAATACAAGGCTCGAGAGCCACCCAAGATTAATGAGTAGGGTCGGATTAACCTAACAGTAAAATAGGATCAATTTTTTAAATCATTTCCAAGCAAGGTAATGAAGCCACTAAGACGCAAGGGGCTACTAAGTGCGAACGAATATTAGAAAAATAAAAACATTATTAAGGAGAGAGAACAATAAATGAACATAAATTTAGATTGTAAAAGATAATGATTGACACTGCATATAAAACTTTGAAGATCAAAGTTGACTAGACAGCACGGGGCCGAAAGAGTGTTCAATAAGCGAGAAGTGCGATAGAAGAAACTATTAACATAGAACTTGCGGTTACATCTTGCTATTCAAGGTCTTAAATGATGAGACCTGGCCCCCAATCTTGTACCGTTCATAAATTCATAAAGTCGAGGAACCAACAAGGAAAATTCATCAGAATAATTATCGTAAAGAGACTTATAGAAAAGGCACAGGGAAGCTACATTACTGCGTTGGGAAAGTAACTTACGCCGAGATGTCAAGTCAAGACTGAAAATATCGCAGATTTTATAAAGAATCTCTAAATACATAGCAGATACCCCAGGCCAGATGTGGCAGCTGTATTCAGTGCATGGACGAATGTTCGATTTATAAACGTTTATTCCGGTGATTAAAAAATTATCTACTTCGAGACTCTGATCCAACTAACCCTAACCCTAAACCTAGCATTTGATTCAATATGATATTTCCCCATCATGTCAGTGGAAAACGTTAGCCCGAGAAGAAGTAAAGAATCACTCTCCTGGAAATTAACATCAGCCATGCAGGCAGAAGAAGAAAAAAAAGTTCTCAAGACGATTAAATCTCTTTAAAGCTTATCAACCCTTTGTGAGCTATTTAAAGCCAAAACATTTCGAATTGTAGGAGGTTGCTTATTGTACAAGGTATTTCCAAGCTGTCCCCCATCTAAGTACTGATCGGGTTCGACGTTGCTTAACTTCGGTGATCGAATGCGATCCAGTGTTTTCAGTGTGACTGACATCCAGTTCTTGATAATGACAGAGATAGTCGAAAGTACTTGAGAAAATCAAGAAAAATCCTGAAGTTTGGATAGATTATTCATAATTTTAATCCCGATCTACAACATTTCATGCAGCGATTGAAAGAATTATAATAAAGAGATGAAATTGTTTATTTGTATGTGTGTGTTAATGTTGTAGACGACTGTGTGGAGCATGTGGTCACAGCGTATAGGTCTGTATTGTTGGAGTTCACATCACAAATAGGATTTTTTACTAGAGGAAGTTGTTAGCTTAACGGCCAACCACTTTTGGGTTCAGAATTGTTCTTCTTCTAAAACGGTTGCCAATCAAAGCTAGATAGCTCTGTCTGCCCTACTATTAACACCTAGGAGGGATAGTAGGGTCTGCTCTCGTACAAATACCCTTGAAAGTGAATGCGACAGCCTCACCATCCTGGTTTTGACGATAAAAGTACATCAGGTAGTAAAGCCTCTGACTGAGAGATTGGAGGTTTTGAGGACCACCTCTTAATTGTTGTTGTTCCCAGGTCCACCCCGACCCGGGGAGGTAGCACTTGTTAGGGCCCCAGCTATGGACAAATAGTGAACACTCTAACAAAAATCAACAGTACATTTTCGTAGTAAGATTACCAACAATACAACACTAAAAAATATACCAAAAATAATTTGATATTTTGAGATGTTAGGGTTAAGGAAAAGTTAATCTTTTTATTTTAGGGGTGTTAAAATTTAAACTCAGGTATCCAATGTATTGTAGTTAGGGGTACCTCGAGGCGGTGTAATGGTTAGCAAGCTTGGCTGGCTAAAACAATTACGACTGAGTCGTGAGTTCGATCCTCACTGGGTGCCCCCTAATTTCGGCCTTGTGCCACATCTAAGCTACGCTTGGAAAATCACTAATGTATTGTAGCTATCAAGATGGGGTCAGAGTATCTCTATATTGACACAAACTTACCTCTTTTTTGTGTTAGTGTCTATGTTCCAACACTTCGTCTGGATTTCAATAGCAATACATTTGGCATTTTTATTTTTTATTTTTCATTCAATTTTTATTTTTATATAAATTTCAATAATGATTTTTTCAAAAGGGGCGTTCAAATATTATTTAGTCAAAATTTTAATATTTATATTTTTATTCGTACCCACTTAAGATGTTATATTTAATTTATTTACTAATTGAGTACATATACGGTAATGTTAAAATCAATATATTAGAATCTAATTATAAATTTATAAACTATTTTATTTATAATCAAGTATAAAAATGTTAGTTTCATTTTAAAGAATTAGCTATTACTTAAAGGAAAAAAAAAATTGGCAATGTCCACAGAAATGATTTAATAAATTTTTTTTTATTTTAATTTTTCTGTTTTATTTATCGAGGACTGCTTTTCAAAAATAAAAATAAATGCTAAAAACACTGAATTATAAATCTCATTGTTTTTTTTTGTTATTTTTTTATATATATATATATATATATATATATATATATATATATATATGCTGCGGTTCAAAAATTTGAGGCCAACGCTAATAATTGACCCATTTTGTGGGATATATTTCTGACGCACGCTATATATATATATTGTGTGTAGTTAGGCAGCATTTTTTTATTCATATATGTTTCATTAAATAATATAGACAAGTGTTGTCAATTTATTTTATGTAAATTCGTTTCATAACGTCTGATAAGCTTAATAACATTATCATTAAACGAAGAAAGAAAATCACAATATTGATACATATTTTTTAATCCAATCTCAGCTTTCGACTTACATAAGCCATTATCAAATATGACAATTACTGTACAATATATTAAGCAATATACGGACAAGTCTGTTTCAGTTTACATGGATGATTTCGAAGCAACGATAAGCACGTGCATATAAGACGCTGGAAGCGAAAATCGCACATGACCACGCGAGAGTGAATTCGAGAAGTATTAAGTATGGGAAGACGTTGGTATAAACCAACTGCTTCTGTTACCAGTTATAGACATTTAAGAATATTTGTGGAGATTTCATAGTTTCTTTTGTTCAGGTTAGGTCTTATGTATATAGATTCAAGAATTTTTAGCTTTTGTTTATTGTTTTCATGTATAAGTATAGATCTGTTTTCTACAAAGATTTTACGGAATTGTGTATGCGGCCAGGTATGTTGTTTTAAATGCCTAAAAATGTTAGAGTTATCATTCAAATGTAGTGTTAAGCGTCGTGAAAGCGAGTTTGTGGTGTGACCAACATAGATATTTATTTCGTTGGAGATACAATCTCCCAAAGAGCACTTGAATTTGTAAACTATGTTGTTTTTTTGCAAATCGCTAACCGGGGGAGAAGAATCATTGGGAATAATTGAGTTGGATATACTAGATTAAGTGTAGCATATGATTAACTTATTTTTTTTTTGCTAGGATCTGTTGTAGATATATTGATAATTACTAATTTTTTAGTATATTTTCATCTTGTTTATAATTAGTATGCATTTGATTACGATCAAGGAGATTAATATAATTGAGATTAGTAGAAGCAGTATTATGCACTATTTGCTGAGCATTGAGATTTCTAAGAAAGCATCTTATTTGTTCATCAACTATATAGTTTGGAAAGCTATTATTAATATGTGTTTGTTTTATATTCTTTAGTTCACTGTAAAAAATCTGTTTTGTGGATGAATTAGTTTCTGCACGATGTATTAGATTTTTTATAATTGCTATTTTGTAGTAATATGGGCATTCGCTCTTGTAGTTAAGTACATGAGTTTATGCTTGTAGGTTTTTTGTATGGCGAAATAGTAAATTTGTTATTATTTGTGTTTATCAATATGTCAAGGAAGGGGATTTTATTATTAGTATTGAGTTAATACGTGAATTTAAGGACAGCATTATTTTGGAAACGTTTTTGAAATTGAAGTATTTCATCTGTATTTTTAACTAACATAAGAGTATCATCAATGTATCTTAGGTAGATGGATGTTTTTTTTTAAATCTATAAATATTTTATTTTCGAGGTTCGGCATGTAGATATTGCTAAATGTCGGACCCAGTACTGAACCCATGGAGACACCATCACGTTGTATATATATATATTATTCATTGTAGGGGAAACCACTGTTTGATCCTGTGTGCTTTACTGCTCGGCCTCGAAGAACGTTGCGTCTCTTTACGCACATTGTTGATTGTTCTATCTTTGTGTATTGTAAAGTCCCATGGAATTGTTGCAAATCGCATGTCCGTGTTATCGTTATTATTATTATTATTATTATTATTATTATTATTATTATAACTATTTTTCTGTATATTTACGATTCAATTTTTAGACACATTTATAAAGAATTAATTAAATGAATTTGACGTTTAATCCTTTTTTTCTTTAAAAAAAAGCCATAATGTCCATAAAATTTATTTAGAAGCAGAATAATCGTCTCCTTTGTCATACGGTGCCTGAAATTTTTAAGGATGAATAAGGTGCCCGCCTAAAGCAGACAATCAAATAAATAAAATAAATGGGAACTTTTGAAATCAAAAGAAACATGCTGGAATAATTAAGAATAGTAATAACAATGGTGTACTTTTCGAAATGCTAACAAACCATAACGAATAATTCCTGCTTGTAATTCTCCCGCTGACCTGAATAGCTTAAAATTGGAATTAAATAAAAAATACATTTATAATCACGAGTGAAGCTGTTACCAGTTACTAAACCATTACTGAAGTGTTTAGAAAGACGTTTCAATGAGTTTGGAAAGTATAAATTAGTCATTAATAATTATCTTTAACTAACTGTATAATTTTGAAACGAAACTTTCTAAATGTGTTTCTCAATATTTTTTTCTCTCTCTACCAATTAACAGGCTATTACATCTCTCCATATCATCCTGTCTTAAATTGCTCTCAGATTTCGTTTTTACAATCCACGTTGTCACAATAATCTTGTTCGTTTGCCTTCAGGACGTGGGCGATCATGGCTCTCTACATCTGCCCATTGTTGCTTTATATAGCATTTCACTTTTTTCTAATCCCTATTTGATAATCAATTCACACAGGTTCGTTAATTTTTTCGATATATTCGTTGAATTATAAATTATCTCCTCCCCTCTTTTCCCTTATTTATATATCCCAGGAAACTTCAAGTATTTCTTGCTGTTTGTAAATATAAATTTACTTGTAGTTCTTATTTTCTTTATGACTTCCTCATTGTTTACATCCAAGAGGACTATGGTCTTGGAGAAGCCCAGGACAAGTGCAGAAATTTAAATATGTGGGAAGTGTTTTAACAGAGGACGGAAAGCAGGAGACTGAAATCCGAAGGCACATTAGGATGGCCAAAGATGCATTTCAAATGCTAAGCAGAGAATTAAGAAACAGGAAAAAAATCGCTAGAAACAAAGAACGGTGTACTAAACTGTTACGTGATATCTGTCCTCTTGTATGGCTGTGGGTGCTGGAAAATCTCCTCAAAGATGAATAAGAAACTTGAAATAACAGAAATGTGGTTCTACAGAAGGATGCTGAGTATACCATAGACCGAACGCGTGAGCAACGACGAAAAAATGGAAACAAAAAAGAAGCATATTTAAAATCAGGAAGAGACAGTTGAGTTTCCTAGGGCGCACAATGAGGACAGTAGGTTTGGAAAATCTGATACTCACGGGACAGAATGAGGGAAAGAGGGACAGAGAAAAACAGCCCATAACATAGTGAGCGTGATTAAATGGTTCGCAGAACAGGGTTTAGTAGAAATATCAGAAAGATACAATTCTGCAAGGGGCAGGAAGTTGTGGAGAACCATGATTGCCTACGTCTTGAGCGGACACGGCACATAAAAAAAGAGAAATGTTGTTTACATGCTATGTAATAGGTCTTCGCATATGTAGTTTGAATAACATGTCTGTCATTTCAATGCTCTCCATTTGTGAAGAGATTGTTCAACATTCACTGTCATCTAGAAGATTAGATGTCTTAGTAAATTTCCTCAGAGAACGAAACGCGC